TGGGCTTGTGGTTTAGTGGTATAATACCCCGTTCGCATTCTTTTCCTGCTTGGAAAGGAGTAGTATCGGGGTGGTCCCGGGTTCGATTCCCGGCGAGTCCATGCTTTTTACTTTTTCGTGTCGAGATCGCTGTTATTTTTGCGTTTTTTTTTGTGCGACGGCTTGTTCGAACGGAATCAGTTCATTTGGTAGAAATATGTCTAGGACCCAAAACTGAGGACAAAGGAAGAAAAAAGAATGATCGAGGCACAAGGGAAAAAAAACACACCGCCAAATTCACCGCCCACATGACTAGTATTCTGCCATCCTGCTCTGTATGTCGTATTGAGAGAAAGAAGAAAACAGAAATAATAATAACCTAATAATAGAAGACATATTGACCAGTTTTATAAGAACAACAACCTATTAAATGGTCAAGCAGAGTACTCTGTAGAGACTGTCAAAATGATTCCGTCTGAAGTTCAGGCCGTCATCCTGGTCCGCAATCATCACTTCCAAAAAAGGAAACAACAACAACAACCTCCCGTCCCGTCCCCTCTGCCAACCATGCCACAGTTGAATATGATTGATATAAAAAAGCACCAGGAGTCCTCCCTCCCGGGACCCGCAGGTGTTACGAAAATCCCACCTAAGCTTTTGGCGGGCAGGGATTTTACTATCAGTCTATTAATTTTTTTTGGAAATTGGTTTGGAAACCAGAGGGATTCGAACCCAGGCTGTTCATTTGGACTGTTAGTAGGTATAAGAGACTTAGGCTACTTAACCACTGCACCATCGCAGCCTGGGTTTGTTGACAGACAGACAGAAAAGAATAGGAATCAGATGTGGCGTTGGGGGTTGGGAGGAGGAGGGTGTTGTTGTCTCACGTGAGATCAAGCTATACGTCAAAGTTGCAAAACTTCATTTGTTTACCACGAAACAAATCTAATTTCGAAATGTTGTTTCTGGGAGGAGCAGATATAAGCATGTATTCTTCTAACTAAGCGCCTCGATCAATATCTGATATCCAGTATATACTTGAAAAAGACGTGCGTTATGTAGGTAGCTAGTTATCTACACTGGACAGTGATAGAATTACACCCTTTTTTTTTCCTTTTCGCGAATTTATTTGATCCTGCTGACCATATAGAAAAGGACTAGGTAAGCTTTCGTAGAATGCAATTCAAAAAAAAAACAACACACACACACCCTTGTCGATAGTTTCCTTAATCTAAGGCTGACAGTGAAGCCAAATCCGATTTGAAAAGGTCCATCACAACTCCTCTCTTCCTTACCCTATAGAGAACTCTGGATAATGATGGGAAAGTAAAGTACTGATTCTGACCTGCAGGTGGCTCTCTCATCTTCCATATCCGGTCAATGACATCATTGATAGATACCTACCCAGGTAGGTAGGTTGGATGCAGAGGACCTGCCAAGAACGGGGGATAAGGTCATGTCACGTGCAGTGCCATATACGGAGTACCTACCTATATCAGAAATCTCATGTCAGGCAGGACCTGCTGAAGTCGATCGAGGCGAGGGTAGGGAGAAATAATTTGGTCTGATAAATATGGGCTGGCGCGGCGGAAGGACAATGCGTGGCCGTGAGTCGGACGAAGTGTACGACAAGAAAAAAAAGAGAATAAGAAAGAAAGCATCTGATGATCACAGCAATAGCCATTTTCCACAATTTTTATGTACCACCTTAGTTAGCCTGCAGTCAAGTGGTTTGAATTCGGGTAGGCACCGATAGTAATACATGCATGACCTGATGCAACACGCATAACAGGAAGTAAACCACTATGGTCTATCGACGAGTGATGAGAGGTAAAGCATTCGGTGAAGATGATGCCGAAAATGCATCACAAGCAGCCAACAATCATACCAGTCATAAGACTCTGGTGCATCTAAGATCATCAACGTATCGTAAAGCATCCAACCCTTGCTCCGAGAACGCCAGCCCAGAAACGAAGACAAGCGACCCGATCATCACCAATGACATATACCACCTTCGCTGTCATCCATTGCCCAGGTGCCCGCCATGCCAACAACCTCCAGCTGACCATCCGCATGCTCGTCCACCTTGCCCAAGGCCGCGAACTTGGCGTCGCCAGGCCCATTGCTCAGCAGCCGTCGCGCCCAAGCATCGATGGCCGGCTCCCCTGTCTCATCGCGCGCCTGTTTCAAGAAAGGAATCAATGCTGTTCCACCGGTTCCTCGCAATTTCCGCTTGTTCATACCACCATCGGTATGCTTCACGTTCGCAAGGTTCACGGCCGACCGCGCCGCCTGCGGGCTGACCGACCGAGAAGAACGAGACTCTCGGGACTTGATGATGATATAGCGGGACACCATCTGGATATGTTTGTCTCGAAGCTCTCGCAACATCGCCAGACATGCATCATAAGCGATGCATAGCGCCTTGTCGGATACTCGGGCTTGCACGTATTCACGAATGTTGGCCACGCTGGCAACATGCTCCAGAAAGCGACGGTGCGGCCCTGGCATGTACTCTCTCATTTCTTGGATGAAGTTATGACGAGGCTTGGGAGCCACCCCATCCGCATCGTTCAGAGAGGGATCGTCGTCCCGAGTCACTCCGGTAGGGCGGTGCTCAATTCCCAAAACGATGTCGAAAAACTGAATGATCGAGCTCTGGGCGTTGCTGCCGCCCCCATATTGTCGGTATTCTTGCTTCCCACTGCCGTCGTCGTATATCACGCCATGAGGAAGCCCTGCGTCTCCCATATTCTTGCTCCCTGCTAGAAACGGTCGAATTCGATGGTAGAATACGTGGGGGTCGCAGTGTTCGTACATTCTCTGCAGGAGAGAAGAGATTTCATCTAATCTTTCGGCAAATTCCTGCAGGCATTCTGTCACGATTCGGCTGTTGTCGATCCGAGCAGCCGCAATGGCCTTCAGCATCAGGGGCAGCGTTGGGGCGCCCCGGGCTTCGATGGCGACTGAGACCAGATAAAACCACTGTTCATCCAAGGACCCCGTAAAGGTGTTTATGCATGCAAGGTTCTCCAGCTTGTCGACAGGCTCGTCAGAGCAGATGGGTCGGTAGTTCCATAGGCAAAGTCCAGCGTATGTAGCAACAGGCGGCACTTCTAGATAGTCGCACACCTTCAGGAGCGGGATACTGATAGGAGGGGGTATTCTCTGCCGGGCCAGATTAGCAAGAAATCTCCAAAATCCTAGATACAGGGCCCGCGCACCTCTGCGGGGATATCACCGCCCCATATGTATCCGTGAAGCATGAAAATCAGGACGACATATGCCCGTCGCCATTCCGCGTCTGTGCGAAGGTAGGAGGTTGAAAGTACCGGCAGACTGTCAATGGTCGAACGAAGTCTCCTGCTGAGCAACAGAGCCTGTAGATTGGAGACTATCGATTCCCACTTGGCATAGTATGGATTAGGCAGCGCCTGCAACGGCGTGGTTGGAGGAAGGAAGCCATGCTCGGGAGAGATGCCATAGTCGGCAAGGACCGGGATTGGTGGTAGCATGGCAAGACGAGAAGAGCGACAAGAAAAAAACCAAATATCCACAAGAAGAGCGAAATGAAAATAAAAAAGAAGAACAGCCAAATAAAAATTACAATAAAAATACAGGATGAAGATCGCTACCACGACGGATGACGACAGGACGCGGAGGCGACGATGGCAGTTGATGCTTCCCGGATCACGTGTGGATCCGGGGTTTTGTCTCCGGGGCTGTCGTAAAGTTTTCGAGTTGATCCAGACTTCAGCGGCGATTCCACGATGTCATGCGGTTGACCAACAGTTTTGCGATCAATCACAGTATCTGTACTGGACAAAGAACCGCAGGCTGACAAGGGGATCGGTGGACATCCAATAAAGCAGTAGGAATAAAAAAAAATATGACTTTGAATATGGACGAGGCAAGAAGTCGTTGGTCGTTGATTTGAGGGAAAAGATTGCAGCTCACCAGCAGTGGTTGAAAGAGGGGGGAAAGATGAGGAGACAAGAGAATTTATTATCCGGGTCTGTCATAGACAGCAAGCAGCCTGAGCTCTGAGGGTCCCCGACAGCAAAAGAAAGCAGCAGGAGGGAGCAGCGCAGGTCGCTGGGCGGGACTGCCGTTTTAAGAATTAATATCGGCAGGCGCGGAGCACGAGAGAGCCATCGAACAGGGTCGAAAACAAGCAGCTCACGCGACAGTGCGGTCACGACTTTCCGGTGAAGAATTAAGAATTGGCTGACAAACAGACGGGAGCCGGGCGATGCTGGATTGGGCTCCGGCCAAGTCTGATGCTCGAGCAGGAACCTTGGAAGGGGCCCAGGCAGGACGGTTCAATCCGCACACGTCACTGGTTCAGGACGACGAAGGCCGCATGGGACAAAGACGGCTAGAGGCCGGTGGGAACCGGCGGGACGGATGGCAGCAATGACAGGCATATTGCAAAAGAAGTGCTGTCGAATCCATGTCAATGTGTCATGGCATTTCCAGCCATGCGATCAGGGAGTAAACAATTGCCTTTGCGAGTAACCGGTATACAGCCATCTCATCCATGGTGCCATTGCAGGCGCATCGAGTGTCATTCATGAGGTCATTGCGGCACAGGAGCCAATGCAGATTGCATCATGGCCAGGGCAGAGGGAGCGCATGCTCACAGACGATCAGCATGGGAGATAGATGGCAGATCGATGACAGCCTGATATCGTCCGATCGTCTGCATGGCATGCGGCGCTTTAGCTACGGCGCTTCAACGGCACGGTCGGGTGGAAGCGAGAGGGGTGTCGGGGCGGCGTTGCTGACGAAAATGGGCAACGACCGGAGGCAAGCGGACGCTATTAGTCACGACCCCACCACGACCCCTCCTCGCTTGCACCTGCACCAACGCCGCTGTCGGCCCCTGCGCTCGGGCGAAAATCGGCGTGCAGCACGGCCCGACGTCATGCGGCAACCTTCTTGGGACTACGACAACCAAACAGGAAACGCTACTCGGCAAATAACAGACAAGACGCCTATATTCTGTCCAGAGCCCAGCTAAGTACACACTAAAGCTACATTACGTACATCATCCCAACGCCCAGTCGTAATCGGCTAAAAAGAAGGAAATTATGCGAAACACAATAAAGAGCTGCCAGACAGTGCATGATAAATAAAAGAATGTCTGCGCTATTGTCGAGAACCCAGGGACCCCTCGACCTGGTTTAATGCTGGCTCCACTCAATGCTGTCCAGCGCGACTCCTTCCTGCACCAGCTCCCAGAGGGGACTCAGTTCGCGGAGGAAGTGCACTCGATCCTGGACCGCCTTGAGCACATAGTCGATTTCAGCCTCCGTGGTAAACCGCCCAATGCCGAACCGAATGCTGCTGTGCGCGTTTTCGTCGTTGTTGCCCAGCGCCCGGAGCACATAGCTGGGCTCCAGGGACGCCGACGTACAGGCACTGCCCGATGACAAGGCAACATCCTTGAGCGCCATCAGGAGCGACTCGCCTTCAATGTACGCAAAGGAGACGTTGACACAGCCTGGGTAATGACGGTCTGGATCCCCGTTCAGCATCGTGTGCTCCATCGACAGAAGCCCATCTAACAGCCGCTTGGACAGCTTCTTGACGTGTTCCGCATCGTACTGCACATCGTGGTCAGCGACTGATCCGGCTTAAGATGATGCGGCAGTAAAACGGGGAAAAAAAAGACAACAGAAGAATCAAAAATCATAACCCCTGCTACGCAGATCACAGGGCCTGGCACACGTCTGAGACGTGGAGCTACCACCAGGCGACCTCAGAAAGCCATGCATATTTTAGAGCATTTAATCATGCTAGGTCCTGAAAGAAACAAAATGAAATGGAACTGGCGAAGGGCTAACTCACCTCCATATCCTGTTTGGCAATGCGGCAAGCCTCGCCGAGACCAACCACGAGGTGAGGAGCGAGGGTGCCGCTGCGGAGACCTCTCTCCTGCCCACCACCAGAGATGATGGGATCGAGGCGAACTCGGGGCCGTCTGCGAACATAGCAGGCGCCGATACCCTTAGGTCCATAGATCTTGTGTCCGGAAATGGACATGAGGTCGATGTTCCATTCGTTTACGTCGATGGGGATCTTTCCCACCGCCTGAGCACCATCCGTGTGGAAGAACACTTTCTTGGAGCGGCAAATCTGTCCAATCTCCTTGATGGGCTGGATGACACCAATCTCGTTGTTGACCGTCATGACACTGACCAGAGCAGTGTCGGGGCGAATCGCCGCCTCGAGATCCTCGAGCCTGATCAGGCCGTTGTTCTGCACGGGAAGGTATGTGACTTCGTAGCCTTCATCCTGAAGGTGTCGGCAGCTGTCCAAGACACACTTGTGTTCGGTCTGCGTGGTGATTATATGTTTCTTCTTCCCCTGACGACCGAAGAACCTCGCAACACCTTTGATGCTCATATTATTACTCTCTGTGGCTCCACTCGTGAAGATGATCTCTTTGGGGTCAGCTCCGATCAGATTCGCGACATGTTCTCGGGCCTTTTCGACGGCCTGCTCCGTCTCCCAGCCGTAAGCATGCGTTCTCGAGTGGGGGTTGCCCCATTGTCCCGTCAGGTAAGGAAGCATGGCATCCAGGACGCGAGGATCGGTGGGTGTCGTGGCCTGCATATCGAGATAAATAGGACGGTTGCCTTGATCCATGATGGTGGCTTGTTTCAGGACCCCTGCGGTAGGGCTCATGGATGCGTCTGCCGTCGTCGGTGTGCCAGGAAGCTGAGCATCCTGGGGCTGGATGCCAGTCTGCTTCACGAACTCCTTGTGCTCTGCCTTGATAGCTGTGTCAACGCTGACCTGAGCGCTGCCAGCCTTTGTTTCAGAGACATAGGAGCGTCTGGAAGGGGCCCGGCTTCCGGGAACCATCCCAGTCTGAAGAGGAGTTGACGCCCTTAGTAAGCTGCTTGACGATGACAGGCGACGGGCATAGGCCCGAGACGCCTGTCTCAAGGCAGAAGGTGCCAGGTGCGACATGGCGTAGATGGATAGGAAACTATACCATGCAATTAAAGATGGTATGGTTGATGCCCAAGTGGGTGGCAACCGATAGGACGGGAGCTTGAAGTGTTTTGCTTAGCGAAAAGTTGCGAAGATCGGATTATGTCACCCGCGGCTTGGCGTCGCGTTCCTCGGGCATTAGTTATCAGATCGTTCGGCATTACCGGATCAGGAAAGGACCTCGGGCCTACCTCGCTGTATGGAAAATACACACCGAATAACCGGTCCATTTCTGTTTAAGTCCGATTATGACTTCAACTTGCTATAAACTGGTGCATGATGCGTCATATACTGTAGTGCTCTCCTGCAGGAGCGTATTCCTGAAACAATGGTGATTGAACGAAACAATAAAGGGCACAAAACCACGAAAGAACAGGTTCCGGATTTCCCCGCAATACTACAAGTTGCTCACCTGCTTACTCCGGAGTACAGAGAACTACTCCAGAGTACAGTCTGACGCTGTTCAGGATCATCACAGTCGTGTGCGATCCTAGTGGCTGTTGGATCCCCAGACGCACGTAGTCACGTGATCCCATCTCCCACGTTGCCAAGTCGACTGAAGTGGCGCAGCAGTCTGCATGGCCAATCAGAGAACAGCTTGCTGTGGCTGCCTAGTCCACGTCGGGCACTTGCCTTTCTGACCTCAAATTTGAAGACATTTCTAGAGCTCGCATGTTTTCTGTTCTCAAGGTCTTACAGAGACATTAACTGTTATAGAATTTTCTAATAATCCTTTAGTTTGTGAACTTTCTTCCCTATTTCCAGGCAACTCCCAGGAACGCAGTCTCAGCCGGCTGTCTCAGGGTGGAAGTTGTTATGTCATAACTCAGCCACACTTTGCTACTGGATGACTAGAAAGGCAACGAATACGGCCCCATCTTGGTAGCAGCCGGATTAGGTACAAGAGGACCTCTCCACCCCACCATTCTCCCCATCGTCGAAGCTCTCAGCTGGCTGCCAGAGTAGCCTTTCGCCCAACTCCTCGCAACACCTACCACGTTATCGAGCCGCTCTCTTCGTTTCCGCTCAGATCCGGCTACTGCGGGGCACAGCTGCAGAGATGAGTTTGAAGGGGATCCAGAAAAGCATAGTGCGCGCGCCGCAGCAGTTCAAGGCCAAGTTCAACATTGGGGAGAACACCAAGGATCCGGTCTATATTGATGCGGAGCGACGGTTCCAGGAATTGGAGAAGGAGACGAAGAAGCTGCACGATGAGTCGAAGAAATACTTCGATGCCATCAACGGTGAGTCTTCGTGCGTCAAATATTTGTACCATGCTAAGAAACTGGTGGAGGCATGTTGAACCACCAGATCGAATTCTCCAAGGCGATGCTCGAATTGTATAAGCCGATTTCCGGCCGTGCTTCCGATCCTAGCTCCTACGCGAACGAGGGACACCCCGAAGGCATCCGGGCCTGTGAAGAGTACCAAAAGGCTATGCGGGAACTACAGGAAATGCTGCAGCCTGAACTGGAGATGATCGAAACTCGCGTCATCAGTCCCGCCAATCAGCTCCTGGACATCATCAAGGTGATCCGGAAAGTCGCCGTCAAGCGTGAACACAAGAAGCTCGACTACGATCGGCACCGGAACACGTTGAAGAAGTTGCAGGAGAAAAAGGACAAATCTTTGAAGGATGAGAAGGCTCTGTACAAGGCAGAGAACGACGTTGAACAGGCGACTCTGGAATACAACCACTACAACGATCTCCTGAAGGAAGAGCTGCCCAAGCTGTTCGCCCTGGAAGCGGAATTCATCCGTCCTCTGTTCCAGTCGTTCTACTACATGCAGCTCAATGTCTTCTACAGTCTCCATGAGAAGATGCAGAGCCTCAACATTGGCTATTTCGATCTTAGTCAAGATATCGTCGAGGCCTTCGAGATGAAGCGGGGGGACGTCAAGGAGCGCGCAGAGGCGCTTAGCATCGTCCACTTCAAGACGACTGGTGGCCGTCGCCCGGGATCGAAGCTTCCACCCAGTGCCAAGGATAAGCTCGCGCAGGAGGAAAAGAGCAGCCTCGCGGCGCGTCGCACGAACTTCGACACGCCGGAAAACCCACCTCCGCCGTACTCGCCTCATGCCGCCGCCGGTTCGACGACAATAGGCCACGCAAACAGCACAGCGGGTAGCACTCTTGCAGCGGCGGCAAAAACCAAGCCCGCGCCGCCGCCTCCACGGCCAAAGCCCGGACATCTGAGCGGACACAACGTCGAGACGGTGACGGCGCTCTACGACTTTGAAGCACAGGCACCAGGCGACCTGAGCTTTTCGGCGGGTGACATCATTGAAATCGTGCAACGGACGAATAACGAGAACGAGTGGTGGACGGGCAGGCTTCGTGGGGTAACGGGACAATTTCCAGGTATGGATTGTGCTCGACATGAAAGACAAATATATAGTTTTTTTTTATCTAACATTGATGTAGGCAACTACGTCCGGCTCAACTAGATGCCAATATAATCCTGCACCACCACGTTTCCGTGTGAACGATATACTCTTTCATCAGATCAGTTTGTTGTTTTGCAAAAAGCGGTTCTCTCTCGATGACTTTTTCTGTCTCTCTCTCTCTGTGTGTGTCCATTTCTTAACGCTGTCGTATCTCGTATAGACTTGCCTGATTTTAGCATGCACCACTGATCCTACTGGTACTACCTCTTCTATGACAACTACCGCTACTTCATACATACTATTCTATTCTATTCTATTCTATTCTCCTCTATTCTTCTTGTCCCCTTCTTCCCGTGTACTGTACATATTTATTTTCTTTTTCTTTTTCTTTTTTAACTTATACTTTCCCACGACGAAGTCTAGATTATTCGTTTTTCTTTTTTTCTTTTT